GACGAGAGTCAAGTCCTTCTTTGTTCCTTAAGTGCGATGGTTCCGTTTCTTTTGTCCCAAGTTTTGTCTATTACACAGGCCGGAGGGCATCATTAGTCGTTTTGGACTCCCCTCGTCTATGGCGGGTCTCGCACTCTTGGACAAAGACTGGGTTTTTCTTTTCCCTTTGTCTGAACAATTTCTTAGAGTAATTACCTCTCTGGAGGACTTTTGATTGCGTGTTCCGCGATTATTTTTTGTCTTGTGATTTGCTTTCCTCCTTGATAACTCATGATGAGAGTCCCAGACTCAGGCAGTGATTATTATTTCGTTTTCTCTTTGTCGTGACTCTGCGTGTGTGGTAACTTGAGTTCTAAGGGACAGTTTATTAACGTGATGCTTCTGCTCTGATAAATCTAGTGAAAAAGCTTTTATTGTTCACTTAACAGCCGGTAAGATTGATTTAGGATTCATGTTAGGAAAATAGTATAATTCTGACTTGTAAAAAGAGAGAGCTGTTAAGCTGTGTCATCTCGGGGTTTCAGAAGTTTTTGTTAATGTTAAGTGTTTGTTACGTTGGACCGACTATGAAAGCTTATTAACTTCCACAAGCAGGTTTGATACCGATAATGTATATAATTCGATCAGATTAGCTATTGCTGCTTGCTACATGCATCCACGAAGCTGTTTTGACGACAGATGGGAAAATGAAGGATAGCGAATTTAATATAAAAAATAAAAAATTTAATATTTTATAATATTTCTTATATCGTGGGAAATAATTCACTATAAACGTATGTAAACTAACCCTACTATAAGCTTACAGTACTACACAAACATTTTTGAATAAAGTTATTGAATTGTATAAGACGACCTGTATTCCTGCTTCGATCGTCTTCACGTGATTTAACAATATCTGATTCTGCTTTGTTTCCATAGCTTTATGTAAGAAAATCGAATATATTTTGTGTATGTTCTTCCTGAAATCCTGTTCACCCTACACTATCACCTGAGCAGTCTCTTATTCCCCGTTGTCTTTGTTCACTTCTTCTTTCCATTTCCTGTTCGGGATTGAACTGCTCTCCGTTCATTTATTCTTCCCCTCTACCGTCTCGTGTTGCATTTCCCCTCCTGATCTTTGGGTTACACCTCTGTCGGTCCGGACTCTTTGTTAACTCAGCTCCTCCATCCCCGTCGATAAAATCTGCTTCCTTCCTCATTAACGTACCCCTCAGGATCCTCCAGGCCTTCGTTATTATCCTGTACCTTCTGTTTCCTCATCATCACCACTACGATCTTTCCTCAGTGTCATTATAATATTTCCCTTTGCTTCGTATTGTTATTATCCAGCTTTCTTCCCTTTACCATCTTTATTCTCCAGGCCCTTTCTCTGGAGTTTCTAGAGGTCGTAAGGTGACTACATCTTCCACTCACTTCGCCCATGTCCTGGTGAAATCTAAATGGACCTCGTTCGTTTGCAATCTAAAACAGCTCCAGGTGACAGTAGAGTGGTCATCGGGGAGGCGTTAACCCTCAACACACACTGCTGCTTTCACCATCTCAGACGACCTCTTGGGAGCTCTGCGATAAGACCTAGTTTATCAGTACCATAAAAACAGCGGATTGGAAGATCTTAGGCTTTGTAAGAAGATGGATCACACACTTTAGGGAAAACTGACCACTGAATGGGATGCAATTTTAGGATTCATTTGCGGGTGACGGGTGATGTTGCCCAATTATGTTAACATCTATGTCGAGACGCATTTGTATACAAAAGGTAATGACGCCAAACTAAGTACATAATATATATATATATATATATATATATATATATATATATATATATATATATATATATATATATATATATATATATATAATTCTACTAACAAGAGGATCTGCTAACAACTTCACTTCCAACAAGTTCATCACCAATTATTATTACCAATCTCTCATCTGCTCTAAACACGGTAATGACCACAAATTCTTGAGTATTATAGCAGTCAAGCGCCACCAATCACTACAAGGCACCTCGTTAGCCATGATCACAGGGGATTATGAAACCAGGCGCTGGCTTACCTTACGACCTCCCGTATCATTTAATGAGGTGTTACGTCAGTTTGAATTAATTCTCTAACAAACTGCATGCAGACGGCTTATACGTACATATGTCGCCAGCTAAACTTTACTGATGGGTTAAGCTCCGTTTTCCACATTTGTATATCTGGTTCCTGTATTTCTTGCTTCTCTCTTTCTTTTCTTCCTTTTGTATCTTGGCTAATCTCTTCCAAATTACTCTTCTTTGCTCATCGCCTGACTCTCTCTCTCTCTCCCTTTCTTTTTCTTTCGTATGTCGCTCTCGATATAGATAAATTTAGAATCTATTCTACAGCATGTAACTCTCATATAAAGGCACAACTTAAACGAACTCGTCTCGATCATCGACTAATACCCGTTACCGAGCTGAAGGAAGGATATTATGGAAAAAAACTCTAAGCCTGGATGATTACATAATACACGGAAGGGGATATGATGATAGGATTAGAGATTGGATATGAGGAAGGTGTAAAGGAACGCTGTCCAACCACTTAGACCATAGGGATTCGAACGTCCGATATGCAAGATGCGACATGCAAGATGCTGTCTCTGTGCCGAACACTTCAAAGGGTCGACACCAACGACTGTGATCGACTCTTGCCCATGCCCACGGATATGTTTCTAAAAAATATCTCTAAACTACAGACACATATATTTCAAGACACAGTGGCAATTCCTCAATATCACTAGCAATGGTGGTTCGCATAACGTTACTAGCAATACTAACTATATCATTAGCAATACTGGCCACATCACCATTAGAAACGCTTGTCAAAACATCCCTAGCAACACCGATTACATCACTAGCTATAATGGTCTCAGCATTACTAGCAATACTGGTCACAACATCACTATACCTACGGAAGTTATACATGTTCAAAATGAAATCAGTCTCCTCGTGAAAAAGTTCTGTAACTAAGAAGAACACCAGACTGAACAGTGACAGTGAGCATCAACAGTAAGTGTAAATACAAGCAGAAACAGCGCCAGCAGCCACGAAACTGTTGACACTGTCCTGTTAACCACAACAACAACAGCAATAACAATAACAGAACGCGGAAAACGACCAGGAGCACGAAAACTTAATTTTATGCTCGAGACAAATCTATTATGTGCTAATATTAGTTGTAATAACACTTTTAAAAGTGCTGTATTGTTCATGTTAGAGGTCCTTTATAAATCATAGCTGACAAAATTATTTGCTTAGTAAATCGTTTGATCTGATCATTGCCTAACTAGATCATGTTGCGAATATAATGTTATTTTTAGAATAGGTGATTGCCCTATGGCAAGATGATTCCCCTATGGCCTGAGATCCAGACGAAGTACACCATCCCAAGGTCCATACGTGGTTTGCCAGCCACGTATGGACAGGAGTATGGACGAACACGGAATCAGGTATTCGAACACAAGTTCAACACCTGATTCTGAAAACTAGGCTCACCAGTCGTAGTTGCAAATAAGGTCCACTACTCGGGGATTGGAACGAAGTATCTTACGTATACCTCCAGACGAGGAGTAAGTTACCGGGAATCTCAGAAGAGGCCTACTACCGGTATTCCCAGAGTAGAGCCACCATCCGGAGTGCCACAATAAGCTTTGGGTGCTTGCCGTTGGACCAACCTTGTATCTTGTTCAGTACAATAAAACGAGTCAAGTCGCTCTTCGTCCTCCCACACCTTCATTGGCCTTCCACCCTCCTTCTCCCTCGGTCTTGTCCTGTCCTTCCTCTTGCTCTATTTACAGATGAAGCAGCTGTTGTGATGGCTGCAGTTTGTTTTGCTTTTGATTGCATATATTTCTGGCTATTTTTGGAGGAGATATTTTTTCTAGCGTGGTGCTGCAACTGCGGGCTCTCAGTTGTTTCTCCTGGTGATGTCAAAACAGGCGGGGCGGGATGGTGGACTCTATCACGTGCGTCATCCTGGTGATGTCAACACGGGGGGCGGGATGGTGGACTCTATCACGTGCGTCATCCTGGTGATGTCAATACGGGGGGCGGGATGGTGGACATCACGTGCGTCATCCTGGTGATGTCAACACGGGGGGCAGGATGGTGGACTCCATCACGCGCGACATCCTGCAGCAAGCGGGCGACCGGCCACTCCATCACACACCATTTCCGCAGCTTCCTGGTTCGCTACTCCCCAAAAACAAAACCTGAGTGAGATCGAGGCACGATTTTTCTTCTTCGCTGCGTAAGACATCCTCCTTCTCTGTCAGCGGTGGCGTGTTTTTCCTTCTGGCTTTGTTCTGTGTGTGAGAGTCTTCGACGTGTTGCTCTTTAAGTCCTGCAGTTGCTTGTCACGCAATTCCCTTTTTTCGCAAAAATATAGTCAGCCATTTCAGCTATCTATTATACTACTGATTCCTGTAAATGTTATAGAAATAGTGGACCGTATATTATTTGTATTTATATTTTTTGATTTGTGACATTTTAACTCCTCGTAGACTAAGAGAAATTATCTTCAACATTCGATAATATTCAGTTCGGAATAATATTACAAACAACAAACAATCATATATTGGCTTCTTTGTCACATTACTATCTAACCTCGTGTCAGTTAATGGCCTCCCTCGACAGCTTTCAATCATCTGACGTTATCTTATTTGTTACCCTGCAGAAGGTGGCAGTTGGCATCTTCCTGTATCCCTCTGAGTTTAGCTCCATCAAAATGTTCGTCTTAGTAACTTTTTTTTCTAAACTACCATCACTCGATTCATACAGCCTCTAATGTCCCTCATGATCACCTTGAAGCACCTGGTGTCAGCCGTGTTCACTCTCTCTTATATTTAAATCTCATTTCTGCTATTTTCCTGCCATCTTATTTTTTTTGCAAAAAAACCTGTGTAAATGATCATAATGCAACAGGTGGAATTACTCAGCATCTAACAGTGAATAATCTTTAGATTTTCCTCCACAGATGGTCGTGGCGGCACCGGAGGAACAGGAACGACGCGGCGTGGGGACCCTCGATACCTGGATGTTATCAGAGAAAGGCCCATCAGGGTGACGGTCAAGGTCCTGGTTCCCGTCAGAGAACACCCTAAGGTAGGTACCGACGGAGAGGGACCGACTACGGGAGGATATATATGAGGGTGTGATTGTCTCTAGCGGAGAGAGAGAGGGAGGGGGGGGAGGCTCTTGGGTAATAAATCCTTAGGATTGGAATTAATGCGATTCATTGAAGAGTAAATAAGAATGTGAATAATTAGGAAGGCAAAACACCGAAAACTTAGCTCATTGACACCATCTCATATGTAACCACAACATCACGAAAGTCACATTAATTAGCAAACCACGCCAGTTTTTATGGATCTTATGCGGTGCACAAGCTCATGAACGACTCTCTTGTTGGTGGTAAAGAAAACAGCAACTTGAGGTCACCTTCCAATTCAATTCTTACCATGGAAAGCTCTCCTTTATCAGTCCGTCCTCCTAAAGTTCCCCAACGTCAAGAAAACGGTCAAGTTAAAGGGCCCTCTCTTAACCTACCAGAGGACCCAAAACAGAAAACGAGATAGTACGTCACTTTCGCAAGCAGCTTTCATATTCTAGTACGACAATTGTTTGCCTTATGTGAGGCATACGATCGAAAAGCGACGTTCTTTGTAGGACAGGTTGCTTTTATGTACATGTATGTACACATACAGTTTCCATAACTGGTGGGTTTCAATAGACAAAAGCCTTAATTACAGAGATCGTTTGTGGAAATATTGGATCTGGTGGCAAGGAAATGGATCCACCAACGTAGCTTTAAACACGCTTGTGATGAATCATTTTGGGAAGTGGCTCCTCATTGATAAATGGTCGTGTTGGAGAACTTAGAAAGTGTAATTCTTCCAACTTTAAAGCAGGAGGAGCGGGTCTCAAGATGATGATATAGGATGAAGAATGAGTGTGGGTGGGGCAAGGTGAGTGAACCACTGAGTGTTTGTGTACCGGAGAACATTGGGTGGATAAATTAAGCCCTTTGGGTTCGTTCTTGACTCATAATCTGGAATCCGGGGTTCGAATCCCGGGTGGGATAGAAATTGTTGGGCATGTTTGATATCACCTAGTGCTTGGCGATGCCCAGCCACTTGGGCTGGACGATAAAGCGATGGTCTAGTTTCATGCTGGTCAGCATTCAATCCACGACCGTCCAAGTGGTTGGGCACCATTCCTTACCCCCGTCCCATCCCAAATCCTTATGCCGTCCCCCTTCCAAGTGCTATATAGTCGTAATGGCTTGGCCCTTTCCCCCTGATAATCCCCCTCCCCCTTTGTTCACCTAGCAGTAAATAGGTATCCGGAGTTAATCAGCTTATTGTGAGGTTTCATCCTGCTTAGGGTCAGTAGTTCGACCTTGTGGGACCCCTACATAAGCCTAATGAATATCTAAATACACATGCTGCCTGTCCCCGACAAAATAATAAAATAAATTAATCGAGGAATCACCATTTAAATACTTTTTATTTCGTTTGGAATAATTATTATCTGATTATCGCTAGCGCATCACGCTATCATTTAAACTAATGTAAATAATGCAATGAAATCGGATAGTAAATTTGAAGAAGCTGCGCGTACCCTGAGGCACTCACTCTCTTCACATTATCGATTCGTCCATTTCTTTAGGTTCTGTAAGTCTGAAGATGGTTAAGCGCGGGCATCTTGTCCTTAATGGATTATGGCCGCGGGCGGTAATCCTGGAAGACGAAGTTGAAGGAGAGGAAAAATGGTCTTGAGAATGGTCTCAAAGCCTCTTTCTACATCAGTTCTCGGTCGTTTTGTCTCGTTCATAAAGTTGAAAAACGTTTTGTTATCACAAATATAACAGAGGCGAGGAAAGGTTAAACGGAAAGTTTAATTCTATATTATACTAAGCGATACGTGTAATATAAAATTAAACTTTCCGTCTGCAGGCGATGAGTGACAATAACGTGGCTAAAGTAAGTTGACCAGACCAAACACTAGAAGGTGAAGGGACGACGACGTTTCGGTCCGTCCTGGACCATTCTCAAGTCGAGTCGATTGACAATCGACTTGAGAATGGTCCAGGACGGACCGAAACGTCGTCGTCCCTTCACCTTCTAGTGTGTGGTCTGGTCTACTATGATGACCAAACCACAACTCAGAAGATGGAGAGGCGACGACGTGTCGATCCGTCCTGGACCATTATCAGGTCGTGTGATCCGTCTTGTGGTGGTGGGAAAATATCTCACGCTAATTATTGCACCGTTAAGAATCAAGTTGGATACACCAGATGATATGAAACAATTAGTACAGATGATAGGCCAACTGCGATACCTTCATTATTCCTCGTTTGCAAGTTCTCGTTGCTGGTAACGGCAGCATCCTCATAACGCGACAAATGTCTTGGTATACGTATGGTTAAAGACGTAGACGACGTTTGACTAAATGTCAAAATGGGACGAGTAATATCTCGCTTTTAATTATAGGAAATTGCTATAGTTGATCCTTAAACCAACTCTCGTATTATTAACAACTTATTTTGTTATATTTCATTGATTCCTGTGAAATATTGCGACTGTTGCTACCACTGTTTACGAGAGTGGATTTGGTGATCTTGTCACCCGGGTCAGGATTTATTAAGCACTTAACTCCTGCATACATACATGCACCTACACACACACACACACACACACACACACACACACACACACACACACACACACACACACACACACCACATTCGCACAAACGCATGCAAACATACACAGATAATTATACACATATTCAAGCCACCAACTATTAATATGAGAGCCACATGCCCACCAATCATTGAGCCTCGCCGGTAACGTATAATACTTCTCATGTCACAAAATGTCATTAATAAGGCACTTGCAGATTTTCTTATTCATAAAGTTGTCAAAGTTATTTTAGTTTTATCTTAACTTTATTTTAAGGTAAGATTTATTTATCTTAAAAAATATATGTAATATGTGTTTTATCTTCGTTTTGCTATGAAGAAGGTTTTCAAATAATATGGTTTTAATTGTGGTCGAAGGAGAGAGAGAGAGATTCACAAGATGAACGACTCACGATATGGAAGAAATGTCTTGCTGGTGTTCACGGCTGGTGTTCGCCGCTGGTGTTCACCGCTGGTGTTCACGGCTGGTGTTCGCCGCTGGTGTTCACCGCTGGTGTTCACGGCTGGTGTTCGCCGCTGGTGTTCACGGCTGGTGTTCGCCGCTGGTGTTCACCGCTGGTGTTCACGGCTGGTGTTCACGGCTGGTGTTCGCCGCTGGTGTTCACCGCTGGTGTTCACGGCTGGTGTTCACCGCTGGTGTTCACGGCTGGTGTTCGCCGCTGGTGTTCACCGCTGGTGTTCACGGCTGGTGTTCACGGCTGGTGTTCGCCGCTGGTGTTCACGGCTGGTGTTCGCCGCTGGTGTTCACCGCTGGTGTTCACGGCTGGTGTTCGCCGCTGGTGTTCACGGCTGGTGTTCGCCGCTGGTGTTCACCGCTGGTGTTCACGGCTGGTGTTCACGGCTGGTGTTCGCCGCTGGTGTTCACGGCTGGTGTTCGCCGCTGGTGTTCACCGCTGGTGTTCACGGCTGGTGTTCGCCGCTGGTGTTCACGGCTGGTGTTCACGGCTGGTGTTCACGGCTGGTGTTCGCCGCTGGTGTTCACCGCTGGTGTTCACGGCTGGTGTTCGCCGCTGGTGTTCACGGCTGGTGTTCGCCGCTGGTGTTCACCGCTGGTGTTCACGGCTGGTGTTCACGGCTGGTGTTCACGGCTGGTGTTCGCCGCTGGTGTTCACCGCTGGTGTTCACTACTGGTGCTCCTCCTCCCCTTCCTTCTCCTCTTCCTTTCTGGTCCTTCTCTTTCAATTGTGTCGAAAAGTTCTTCCTAAATTTTGTTGCTATGTACTTTTTTTAATTGTTACTTGATCCTAAGTTGCCTTCCTCCTGGTCATCAACAGCCGAGCATTTTGTTTTGCATTCAAATTTGTAAATATCTTTTATGATACATGCATTAATGTAAAAAAAACTTTATCCACTGAGTCTCAAGGACTATTTTTGTTTTCCGGCGTACAGTATGATTCATATTCATGATGCTGCTTATGCAAAAGCCGCGTATAATGCTGCAGTCCTCATTATATATGCAATAGGGACACGAACGAAGATGTGAAATATACAACGCTGCAAAGGCAATTTTTTTTTTACTTGGACTATTGGGCACAAACAAAATATTTACAAGACTATTGGGCACAAAATTCCAAGAAATAACAAAGTTTATTAATTTGGTAGATATGTTGATGGAGAGGTGGAAGATAATATTGTTACTTTCTGTACAGCTTGTTAGATCGTTTAGTACGTGGCTCGTTTTGATCTCTGTATTTCGACGTGTTCCCCCCTCCCTTGATAGTCAAAGTTCGGTGTTGTATGAACACCTATTTGACTGCCCCTCTTTCCTAAAATCACCCTTTCTACCTCTAGCCTTCCCCACGCCACAGTATCGTCCTTTTCTCCATATCCGTCCCTCTATCCACACATCTGTACACCATCCACACATCCTGCCACTGTCCATATACTCGCCTTCTACTTCCAGTTGTCTCATTTAACACAACGCTGCATTTATTTTCACTATCTTCCTATTCCACATACACACATCCCTCTCTCTCTCCTAGGCATCACCCCATAATACACACTCACCTTTCTCACTCGTCTCTCACGCCTCAGTTCAAGGTCTGTGGCATCTTCTGGCAACAGTGGGCCCTCCCTTGGCATGGTTATGTTTCCTGCTTCATATCTAACTCTACAAACACCGTGTTGGGAAGCTTTTAAAGCCCTGCTACTTGGCAGCGGCTACAGAAAGCCTGCTTGAAATAGTTAAAACGCAGGTCCAAGTTTTGACAAAGGATGGCCACCCGCAGAGGGATGCAAAGTCTCATTAGGCCACGTTTGCTAATGGCTGTTCGTATTTTAAATGTTGGATGGCCTCAACAAACACATTGTGTGTGTAGGGAACTTTGTTGTTTTATTTTTGGCCTTCTTTGAGGGGGGAATACTCACCTGCTACCAACATGAAGGACTTCTTGGAAAT